AGACGGGGGGGTAAGGAGAAGCCCTTTCTAAAAAAAAAAAAAAAAAAAAAAAAAAAAAAAAAGATTACATATGTAAACCCATAGTCAATATTGTGCTGAATGGGGGAAAGCTGAAGGCATTTCCCCTGAGTTGGGGTCAAAAATAAGTGTATTCACCCTTGCATAACTTGGTGTAGCAGAAGAAGCTTTATCCAGAGCAATTAGGCAAGAGAAAGAAGGGGACACAAATAGGAAGGGAGAAGCTAAAGTCCCCTTGTTGTATATATGATTCTATACAGAAAAACAGTCTCCAAAGACTATTAGAATTGATAAACTAAGTAGACAGATACAAAATCAACATACAAACTCAGTAGCTTTTGTAGACATTAATAATAAATTTCTTGAGAAAAAAAATCATGAACGCAATCCAATTTACAGAAGAAAAAATATCTACTTAGGTATAAGCTTGACCAAGGAAGTAAAAACCTCTGCAGTCAAAATTTCAAAGCATTACTGCATCCATTACACACACAAGATGTCCATGGATTGGAAGAATTCATATTTTTAAAATGTCTATACTACCCAAAGCAAACTTCAGATTCAACACAATTCCCGTCTAAATACAACTTTCTTCACATTACTAGAAAAAAATGCCAAAATCCATAAGGAAGTACACACACACATGCACACAAATATCAAAAAACAAATACCCAAAGCAATCAAGCAAGCCCAGCAAAGTAGGAGGAATCACAATACCAGATTTTAAGACATATGAAGAGCCATAGTAGACGAAGCAGCCTAGTGTTAGCATAAAAACAGACACATAAACCAAAGAAACAGAATATATTCCACTAATAAATCCACACATCTATATCCAAACATTTCTCAAAGAAGTACCAAAGCTGCACATTTGGATGACAACAATCTCACCAAGAAATTATGCTGGGGAAACTGGACATATACAGAAGACTGAGACTTCATACTTCTCACCTTATACAAAAGTCAAATCAAAATGCATCAAAGCCCAAACATAAAACATACAACCTACTAGAAGAAAACATTAGAAAAGTTCAAAACTTCTGTACAGGCAATGACTTTCAGGTGGGAACCCAAAAGCATAGGAAATAAAGCAAAAATTGATTACTGGGATTACTTCATGTCACAAAGCTTCTGCACAGCAAAGGAAATGATCAACAGAATAGAGAAAATGCATGCCAACTATTCATCTAACAAGTTAGTATCCAGAAAAATATAAGGAACTAAAAAAAAAAGTACACTTTCACAATGGGTAAATTATAACAATGGTGCTTCTTAAAAGAAGGAATACAAACAGTCAACAAATATATGAAAAGAGGCTCAATATCATGAGCCAGCAGGGAATTCAAATCAAAACCACAGTGTGATGTCATCTCACCCCAGTTACTATGGTATGATCAAAGTGACAAAAGATAAATGTTAATAAGGATGTGGAGGAAAGGGAATTCTCATATGCCATTGATGGCAATGCAAATTAGTACAGCCATTATGGAAAGTCTTAGGGAGGTTCCTCAAGAAACTAAAACTATTCACCTAGCCCACTTCCTTATATATTACCAAAGGAAATTTAATTAACATAACAAATTGAACATGCCTGTATATCCGTATTTATTGCAGCAAAATTCACAATAGCTAAGTCATGGATGCAGCCTAGGTACCCTTCAATAGATGAGTAAATGTAGTATATATATACACACATGGAGTATTACTCTATCATAAAGAAGAATGAAACCCTTTCATTTGTAGTAAAGTGGGTAGAATTGGAGGTCAGTATATTAAGTAAAATAAGCCAATCACAGAAAGGCAGATATGTTGTTCTCTCTCTCTCTCTCTCTCTCTCTCTCTCTCTCTCTCTCAAGCCAAAATCAAAGCAAACATGTTGATGGGAAAGCAGAGTAATGATTACTGGAAATTGGAATGGGTGGAGACAGGAAAAGAGTGATTATATTTGATCATTTCACATTTCATGCATGTGTGGAGACAGAACACTGACCCCCCCAATTATAGGGTTGGGGAAGTGGACATTTGGTAAAGGGCCTTCCTTACAAGCATGCTGACCTAATTTTAACTCCAGAACCCATGTAAAAAATGGTGCTGCATGCACATCTTAGTCCAGTATTGGGGAGGAAGAGACGAGAGGATCTCTGGGACTCGCTAAGGGGCCGTGTCCCCCCAAATAAACATATTAAAAAGGGGGTTGGCAGTACTTGAGGAATGACACCCAAGTTTGTCCTGTAGCCTCCACATACACCCACACATACATGTATACACACACACACACACACACACATGTTTGAAGGTTGGAATTCCATGTAGGAGAAAGGATATTTAACACTTCCCTAAATGAAGGAATAGGAAGAAAGGAGGGAGTGGTGCACATAAGTGGGCACTGTTGGAAGACAGTCTGCATCACAGGCAAGTTGCAGGGAGATACTGTGTGCAGAAGTGATAAGGAGAGATTGGAGACCAAAGTCAGCGCTACAAAAGCCAATTCCTCTCTCGACAGACTTTAACCTCCATTGCCACCCAAAGACAATCAGGATGGTGCTGTATTTGAGGATAGGGTACGTATCCCTTTAAGACCCAAACTCTAGGCATGATTGTTTTCCAGAAAGGACTTCAGCATGTATGATGTCACTGAAGTGTGGCAATAGCATGAAATTTCTCTGTTCCCACATGGTAACCCGTCCATGCATAGTTCCATGCCTAATATAAATGTTGGAACATTTGAATTCGAACATCTCAAACTTAAATCCATTAATAAGCAGTAGCATGTGCCCTTAAATCACTCTCTGCCTGCCTTTCTGTGACCCTAGAGGTCAGGGCATCATTCTCCTTGGACAGGGTTCTGTGCAGAAGGGAAAAGGAGGGGTGGATTGCAGCTCCCGTTCTGGTATTGCAACTCTGATTGGATGCTTCTATGCTACATGCCACAGTCTCTACAGTCATGGTATGTGCAGGAACTGACACAGAGGAGCCAGTGAGATCTGTTTGCCAAGCTATGGATTTTAAGCCCAAACACTTTGATCACAGCCAACACTACTGTGGATGCTATGAGATATACTTTTTAAAAGATGTGCTCTAAAATGCCCTTCAAGCCCTCAGTGGGCCCTGTCCAGTAGGATTTTTAAAACTGAGAAATCAACATTGGCGGTGGTCCTGAAAACCAAAACAACTTGTGGGCCACACTAGGAGACAACCATCAGAGACCTCTTCCACCTCCCAAAGCACCAGCACTCCTCAATCTGCAGAGGCCTCTGAATCAGGGCAGGGTGCGGATGCTTTGCCAAAAGTGGCAATGACCCCCACGCTGAGCACTTGGCAGGACATCACAGACTTCATGACCACCAAGCCTCTGTGGCTAGTTTATCCTCCAGCAACTAATTATGCACACCATGGAGTTACCTGCTTTCAAAAAGACAGAGATGACATTTAAAGCAGCTTAAGTTGACTTCCTTCTATTGCTCTAATAGTTCCCAGGCAGCATTTGCTTCTGCTTTTCCAACCAGCAGAAGTGATCAGAAAATGATTAGTTTCTTTTGCAGATGAAATTCAGATTTTGCATTTGTGCTGTTTTATGAGCTGAAACTATTTTAAGAGCCAATTTATGGTTTTCAATACTAAAATTAAATTTAAAGGAAAAAAAACCAGCCAGGAAGTTCAGCAGTTGGAGGATAACATTAGCAGCTTGCCCCAAGGCAATATTCTGTGATTACCAGTTTCCTTTACAAAACTTTGTCTCAATTTCATATCATTTAGCCTTGCTCCATTTTATCCAGCAAAAGCAGAAGGGAGACACATTCTGCAGGGCTTAGGACAGTTCACTAAGTGTGTATACAGGGGATCCCTTTAGGGTCATATGGTTTCCAGAAACTCTAATCTCAGATGTGTTCATTCTCAAGCTACCTCTTGGAACACTTTACCCCTTTTGAAATCTAAACCTCTAGGAACACTGAAGAGAGAACACCTCTCTTCTCTCATCTCTGGAGAATCCTATTAGGAAAGCTGCTATGGAATCACACTAGAGCTTTCTGTCCTCCCAGGGTATGCAAAACTAGCTCCCTGTGTCCTTCCTGTCCCCCAGTTTCCTACAGTAACTACTTTCAGGCCAGGAAAGAACTGTTCTTCCCAAAGGGAACAGCACTCTTTCTCCTCATTAGCTCAGAGCAAGGTATTAGGTTGATTTGTTCAACAAGTTTTGCTTTTGTCTTTGGAAAATAAACTTGTGATGTTCCTACAGGAACCTACTGGCATTGATCTGCCTTTACTGGACCCTGCAAGCACCATCACCACTGTCGCAGGACCAAGTGCTTTTAGTATCCCTCTTCCTATCCGTCAGAAGCTTTGCAGCAGCCTGGATGCCCCCCAGACAAGAGGCCATGACTGGAGGATGCTGGCCCACAAACTCAACCTGGATAGGTGAGTTGTCCAGACTGCAGGACCAGTTGCTTTCTGTTAGCGGATATCTCCAGGACTTGAAAAGCTTGTTTGGAAAGCAACATTTTTTCCATCCACACATCTGTTTATATTTCCAATCTAAAAATATTAAATTAAAAAATTAATTTTAAAAATGCACAAAACTCCTTTATACCTTATAACACGGACTTCCATATGGTTCTAAGAGATAGTCTGGATTTATCTGACATTGATCAGTATTTGTCATCTACTCTGTCTAGATCATGGCCTATGGCCTCCTATGTACCAAGGCTATTCACTAAAGTAATTATTATTCATCTCCAGTTGAACAAGACGTCGTGTGTGATGAATAATTCACGTGCTCACATAGCACTTGCATTAAGAGATCTCAGGATCTTCTAATTTGTAGAATGTAGCCGTCACCTCCAAACAAAAGATGTGGCATGATCTGTCAAAGATCATCAGATCCTGGGCTGGAAGGAAAACATTAAGTCTCTTGATTTTCTGTTTAGGACATAACCCATAGACATATTGTCTCTTAAATTATCTTACTCAGAGTTGAGGTTAACAAACTTAAACATCACATCTCCAATCTGGGACTGATCTAATTACGTATAGTCATTTGGAATTGTTCACTATACTCCACAGTGGAGCTGAAATACTTCAAGGTGGATGGAGAGACAGAAAGGTTTAGTCCAATAAAAACAGACGAGAATATAGAACTGCAAGCAGAGCCGCAAATCGCACCTCTCTGCATATTTTACCATTTCCAATTGCAGGTACTTGAATTACTTTGCCACCAAATCGAGCCCAACTGGCGTAATCCTGGATCTTTGGGAAGCACAGAATTTCCCAGATGGAAACCTGAGCATGCTGGCAGCTGTCTTAGAAGAAATGGGAAGACACGAAACGGTAGTGTCCTTAGCAGAAGGGCAGTATTGATCACACCAGAACTGAAAGTGAAGGACAGAAATACACAGGAAGTCTGTGTCCAGGGGAACCACAGCTGAGGAGGAAATTCACAACGACCAAGGCGCTTCACAGGCAAGACGGCAGCAGGGAAGGTAGAGAACAGAGGCAGCTACCGACATACATGCCCACTTCATTCGGACAGCACCACAGGAGTTAAGAAATATTGTGTAAATTTGTACCTTGAATTTAGAAATTGATCTAATTTTCTCTTAGTTGGGCTGTATGCTGTGTGGTACAGGATCTTACAGTTTCCTAGGAAACGCTTTTTATTGCTATCCAGATATATGGATAAACTTTCTTAACAAACCCAATTTCTACAAATGTTGTTTACATCAGATTGGACAGGGATGCAGACACTGTCCATGGCTCGTTCTATTTTTGTTCAGATCATTTGAAGTTGAAGCTGTGGACGGTTTGTTGTGTGTAGTTCAGATTAGCAATTTACAGAGAAATCACAGACTTTTGGTACAAATCGTATCCATCAAGCGTCTCAGATAATCCTCCATCAGTGTTCTTTCTAAAACTTGTGGAACCAGTCTTAGTTAACATTTGTATCAGGGAAGTGGAGAATCTAAATGTAAAGGAGAAATGACAAAGATTCCTTATGCCTTGGGGAACCTATTTGGTGCCCTTTGGGAACAAAGCTGAGGCACTACAGGGAAGACAAGAGATTCATGTTCAACCACAAAAACATTTCTTTACCACATGTGTATGCGTATTATGCAATTTCAGGTGTTTTTAAATGTATTATTATTGGTGAGTATTACAAATATTGTAGTAAAAGGATTTTCTTTTGTTTTAGTTAGCAGTACTCTTAGTATTTGATATCGACTACACCAGCCTCCCTTTCTCACATAAAAAGGTGGGTGTGGTCACCAGTTTCGTTCCATAGGCTTTGCTTCCTGACCACTGATCTTTCTTCTACCATTCTGTGGTGGAAAGGTGTGGAATGCCCACACTGGCTGTCTGCTCCTTCCGCCTGCTCAGGCAGAGGCTTTCCTTTCTGGCTCTTATCATGACAAGAGTTCTAGATGTAAAATTTACTTAATCTTGTAGCTGTCTATGAATGGGGCAGTGTGGTTGTGTGGAGTGGCTTCAGGAACTGAGAATCGGGAAACCAGTTTTTATTCCGCAGTTGGCCCCATTGTCTGTGTGGACAGCACTGAAACTCGCTGGAGCTCAAGATAAGATCATATCATTTCAAAGTTCCAAAATGCTGAACTTCCATTGTGATGCTGCCTGTCTTATTCATCAGTCTGAAGATGTTGAGAGACGCTGGCCTGGATCATCTGTCAGCTAGCCTTTTGCATAGGCTAACATTACACCTTTCAGATGCTCTTGACTTGAAAGAGGACTACTCTAACATGGAAGCATTGGGCTTTGTCTTTGTATTATTCCTGCATGATGTTGTTCACTGAGAGATGGCATCCTCTTCCTATCATTCCCTTGTCCTCTTTCTGTGACCCTACCCTCTAATCTTCCCTCTTAGTTTTAAATTCTACTTTCCTCATTTCTTGATCTCTAGATAGATAGCAAACAACTTCTACCAAAGCCCATGCAGCTGTAGGAATTTGGTACAATTTCTCTTTCCTCTTAAATCTTTGCTTTAATAATATTCAGTAGTATTTACCAAGTTTAATTAGCTTTTTGCATTACAAAATATTAGTCAATTGTGCCAACTATGACGTTTTCTTGGGACCATCATAGGCTCTTTGTTTTGACAGATGGAGAATGAAAAGTTCATGGTGACCCCATAGACAAAATTAGACAAAGTGAGAAACACCCATCTCCTCAAACCAGAACCACTGTGTACTTTGGGGCTGGTGATGTCCAGGTTACTGACTAGGCTTCAGTTAGAAATCATTTAATCCATGTTCTTCCATCGTCCAACATGGATTTCTTGATGTTCTACAACTCCTCTATCTTGTTCCTTGAAAAACTGTGATGCTTTGTTATGGAGGCTTTTCCCTCATGTTGTCTATTCCTTATCTTCTCTTGCAGGTATATATTCTATACTATCTTACCTTGACCTCTCTATACACATTAGCATTTCCGTATTTAAAAATATTGGTCCTACTCATTGTAAGGGGGATACTACACTATTAAACAAGTTCAGTGGATGGTGTTCACACCAATGAGTTTGTTCTAAATTGTAAAACTTTAAATAGACACCCTTAAAGTGCAAGAAGAGGAAAGAGTTATTGTCTATCGCTGCCTCTTGAAATAAACATGTCAAGATTCCTCTTCAGTCCTGAGGTTTTGGAATTATCAATAGAAATCAAAACTTAAGAGATCTGAACTGGATATTCAAAGAAACGTCTATGCTTCATGAAGAGTAGAGGAGAGAAAATATGTAATGATCATGGTGAAGCAATTCCAAAACTTTCAATAAAAACATTATTAAAAGTCACCAACAAAGAAATATTGAGCATAACCAGAGAAATAGTATTAATGGTATGGGTGCATTTGGGTTCAAGCATCTGAAGACGCTTGCTTTGTGGTTCAGTCTCTCACCACAGGAAAAGAAAGAATGACTAATTCCTTGTGAGGTACTCATTTATTCCCAATCTATTATATTTTCTGTCATGTGACTGATGGCTTCCAAACTAGAACACGCCTGCCCTTTGTCAAATAATTTTCACGAAGAAGTCTGCTTTCTTTCTCCTTTGGAGGAAAGTAATAGCTGTTAGATCACTCTCTTAGAAAGTTCACATGCCACAGTTCATTTCAGAGGGCGTAACATCATCAACCACCCTGTGTGCCATGTCCTCCTTCTACACAGCATGGGAGGAAACCCCAGGCTTCCCGGCAGTTGCATAGGAAAACTTAACCGTTTGTGCATGGCGCCACCTAGTGGCTACCACACGGTCACTCTGAGTTTAATGTGTAGTTCACTAAAAATTGTTGACCAAATGAGCACCTGTAGAGTTTGAAAGGATATCTATGACAAACACGTGGGAAATTTTTCTCTTCAAGGATGTAATTTTCCTATTCTCACTTTTACACATTATATCTCCCATCTCCAAGTTTCATGAGTTCAGTACATCAACTTGTTCATAGACATCTTAAGTTACTACTTTCTTGTAATACACATATATAAAATCTGTACAAAGTTCCTTAAAAGTTGTCATTTTAAATTTATGAATTCCATTGGGCTTTGCATATTTTAAATCTTTTAGTTCCTCAATATTTACCTTTCGAAGCATAAGCTGTATCTGCTTAGAAAGATCTGTCTCCTTACCCAACCCCCACAGGACACCCCATTTTTTTTGTTTTCTTTTTAGATTTTAAGACATATTCTTACTATATAGCCCAGGCTGGCCTCAAAGTCATGATACTCCTGCCACAGTCTTGAGTGCTGAGATGATAAAGCATGCACCACACCTGCTAAAATAAGGCTTCTATTTGCACATGAGAATCCTCTGTCTACTGAAGGGAAAACTGTAGCTGTTGATCAAGAAGGACCTTCAGATCAAGATAATGTTCTTCTGAAATCGGGAATCTAAAAGCAGAGGTTTCGTGCTGTGCTCATTCTCTTCTCACTACATTAATCCAGATTTCCATGTGATCTGGAAGGAATAAAGTTGGATTCAGACTTCATAGCTGGGTCTTTGATGGTGACAAGCATGTGTCACGGACCTTCTTCACCGGAGCAATCCAATCTCACCAAAGGAAGGACACTTTTGGCGGGCAAGGGGTCTCAAACCAAATCGCATCATCATCTGCCATTTTCATATGTGCTGTCGTTTTCTAGATTTTGATCTCTCCGTTCTTTAGAGCAAAGTCATGATGACTACATTTAGACTCTCTAGAAACTAGGCATTCAGTGGTTTCAAAGACATTTCTCCTAAAAGGAAGGTAGATGGAAAGCAAACATTTTGAAGATACAATCTAGAGAGAGCAGGCAAGCTCCTGTCTTCTAGTTCTCTGTGTGCCTCAGCTGGGGGCCTGGCAGGTATGCTCCTGGGTCACTCACACCTCCACTGTCAAAGGATGAAGGGAGCCTCTAAAGATGATGGCTCTTTTTCAGAATCTATAGTCCTTTCTTTCTATAAGGTCTGCCCTCTGGGGCTAATCAGTGGAAAACTAAAGAACTTGGAAAGTGTGTGAAGAAAATAGGAAAAGTTTACTTGTTGAACTTTCAGTGTTCAAGACAAATGTGAATTTTAGCTTTTGCTGGGCAGTTTCTCTGGACAAGCAATCCATTTCATACTGAGACTTCAGTGCAAGTCCAAGGCTAGTGGAAGAAAGGACTACAGAAACTCAGTGGGGATTAGGCTTGAGCCATCTCCTTTGAGAACAGAGAAGCTTTTGTGAATCAGGTCATCATTGTTCAAACCAATTGTTTGTAAAGATGATAATGGCCAATGAGCATTTGGTTTTATAGTTCCAAAAGGAAAGATATTTTTACTATTATCTCAAGGTAATAAAACTGGTTTTGCCTTCCGAGTGCCTCATGGGACCAACTATTATACTTCTTTAGTTTTGTATTATTTTTGTATTTTTTAAAACATACTGAGCTAATGTTGACTGAAATCCTTAGAACTTTTCTTCTGTGCAATGAAATACTGTTTCTCTGCCCTAAGAGATCTTTTTGTATCATCTCTGGTTATAGAGATCACTTTGACAATTCTCCTTGCATCTCTAATAATTTATTAGGGAATATGGGGAGGACATAGAACCAATACTAAGTTAAATTCATGTCCATTTAATCCAAATAAGCCAGGTCAAGTCATAAATATTTCCAGAATGCAAGAAAATTCTTTTTTTTTTATAATAGTGGAGACAGCTTGTATGCACCTGAATATCTCTGCGGACTAACGTGCAGCTTCTGATCCTTTAGTCCTATTGGCCATGCAGCTCCTTCAGAAAAAAGAGGAAAGGAAAGAAGAGGAGAGAGAGAGAGAGAGAGAGAGAGAGAGAGAGAGAGAGAGAGAACAGCCTACTGTATTGATCTTCAGAAAGTCCAGTGGGCATGGCTGCTTCCTTTATTGATCTATGGTGGGATATTAATGGAGCTCATTCAACCAAAGGTATTTTTTGCCTCAGGCCTATTTTAATGTGGCTAGGAGGTATCCGTGCTGACTGACAGGCACTCCACAAATGTACTAGCACACAAAGCCAAACAGATGTTAAGAGGTTACCTGCAAGTCTTCAGTATGCTTAGATGATTGTCTGCTGAGGGGATCTAGCCTGAGAACTTCTAGAATCCTAAATGGAAGTCCCTGTAGTATATCAGGATAGTCAAGGCTCAGCCCACTAGTTCAGCAGAAAACAAGGCAGTGCCCTGAGCTACAATCACCCGCCCACCAGCCATGATATTTGCTATAGTACACCAGCTTTTTATCATGTTATTTCAGAACTGAGCTTCAGCAGCACTACAAATTGCAGGCAATGCTACTTTAGGATCCATTGCAAATAAACCTAAATCCTGCATCATGCAAAGGGCTACTGCCATCGAGCCTGAAGACACTCAGCCAGGGTAGAGGAACTCTTCTTACAGAAGTGGGACTGTGAACTGTGGGCTGGTTGTACTGTTCAGCAGCCTAAGGGTTGATGAGCTCTAGGCTTTTGATCTTCACTCAGTGCTATAATGTGGCAACATCAAAGCATCATGACCTGAGCTATATGGGAGATGTTAAAACAGATCTGTTTTAAAACAACATAAAAAAGCAAGAAATCGACAGCCAGTAGAAAATGCCTTTGCTATGTTTTATTCTTAAAGTCATTAATGGCACCTGTAACTGTACAAATGAACTCAGACGTGTTTTATTCCAGTCCCTGAAAAAGAGAAAGGACCCAGTTGAACACATAACGTCTGTTTTTTCCACTCTTTCCTAGACCTATAGTACTGATGCCCTCACTCTCCAGGCAATGTGCTTAGCCAAGTTACAGGGAACATCATCATGGTGTGTGTGCGTGTTGGATGTCACAGTGGTGTGCGTATTGAGTTTACCGTTGAGCTGCAGGCTGGTAACCTTCCTCTTCATTTGTTTGAAAGAAGACAGCCAATGTTTGTGAGAGAACAATCCCCAGCAGTCTGGTGAAGGGGCTAGGTCACCCTCCTGTGTTCTTTGGAACAGCTCAGTTTCAGAAATATCATGTTGTGGTTGTATGCTTTGTCATTTTTCTTTTTTAAGCAAAACAACACAACCTTGGCTTCTCAGATATGAAGCACTTCTTTCACTGTTGTGGAATTCCCTCTTGCTGTATCTTCTATGCAATTCCTTTTCTAAAAACCCCTGGTGGCAGAGGAGTGCACCCCAGCATTCCACATTGCCTTGCTGTGTGGTAGAGGTGAGGGATACCAGCTCTGGGTGTGCCTCTTTTCTCTCCCTAACTGCCTCGCCTGATTTTTCCTGCAGTCCCCTCGGTTTGTAAATTGCCTGCATTTATTCTGTCAGCCAACATGTACAAAATGTAAGAAAGAATTTTTAAACAGGTAATAAATTATATTTATAAGCAACAGAGAGTGCCTCCTGCTTTGTTTCTTCAGAAGACAGAAATAGTTATCATGTATTTATTTAGTACACACAAGATCTTTGGGTCCTGTATGGATGGTAATCACAACCTTCATCTATAGCAGGGTGAAGGTCTAGAATGGTGCTTCTCCAACATCCCTACACATTGGAATCTCTGGGGATTTAAAAGCTGGTACCTAAGACCTACCTCTGGAGACCTGGGTTTCTTTTGTCTGAGTGCAACTTGAATATTGAGTGTGAAAATCTCCCAGGAGATACCAGTAAAAGCAGTTAATACAGTCAATGTTTTCTAATACCTGCATCAAATTTTCCCAGAGCAACTTAATAACATGGCTAGGCCCTACACTCAAAGATCCAGTCTCAAATGAAGTTTGAAAATACCTACACTGACAGGTGGAAAATTAAAGATGAACCTCATAATCCAGCCCAGAGCTATCATGAAAACCTGATGTATTCAACTTGGTATATGACCCCAGTTATTCCCTTATGAGGTAAGTAAGCACAAAGCTCCAGGTATGAGGTGAAAACAGCTATATCTGGGAGCTGCGAGAGCCAAGGCAGCTCTTTCTTCAGTGACAGACTACTTAGAGGTGCCCTTAGATGCACTTAACGCTGCCCCCACCCTTTCTCTCAGCCTGACTAGTCAAAGATGGTAGACACCACTGGAGAGAACTATCTAATTCCTCCAGGGTCTACACAATGGTGACAAACTCAAATAATTCAAGTGGTAAGGAGACCTTGTATACAGTCAATGGGAAGCCTATGGATCCAAGAATGAAAATTTGAGTGAGAAGCAAACAAAAGCCGTACGTCACAAAGAAAACTCAACACATGGTAGCATAGTAAACTCCTTCCTAGCTCCTGCTCATTTGAGCTTCAGGAGTTGGGATTCCCACTGCGAATGCCACCATACTTTGGGAGGAAGGCAAATGTTTGCTTTTCTAGGTAAAATCAGTGAACTCCTAGCCCCAAAGAGCCTGTGTCTGAGGTCACGTGAACATTCTAGGTTTTGACCTCCCCCTGAATCCATTCCTTGGTGACAATGTATAGTACCAGGCAAATAATCTTTCTTAATCCCAGAGACCCTACAATTGGATTAATGTCACAAACTGGGGTAGGTATTACTTAGCAGAAAGAGCTCTGATTGAAGAAACCTCTATACCTTGCTACTATTACAGATGAGAAAACAAGTCTGCCACTTATAAAGTGACCCACAGCAAGAGGACAACCCACTTTGCCCAGTCAGGTTTTATTCCCCACCTTAGTCCTATGAGAGTCTTGGCTTGAACCACAGCATGCAGAAGTGGGGACTAGGCAGGTTGGGGAGAGGTGCTCCGGCAGCAGGCACCGGCTTGGTTGAACTGCTGTAGCTTTGCATCCAGTAAAACTGCCAGAAAAGAAAGGCTGGACATTGGAACACCCAGTGTGGGCAGCCATGTATTTTACATGTCCATCTAATCTATTCCTCATAAGAGACCTAGGAAGTGGAATGGGGCATTTTATTCCAAGATGCAGGAGAGAAGATTGGGGCTTGTAGGGTGTGTACTTCTGCAGAACTAGGAAAGTAAAAATGAAGAAATTAGAGCTAAGTCAATCTGAATCCCAAATATTAGAGTGTATTCTCCCAGCACAAATGCAATTGGCTAACATGGTAAATATCAAAACTTTTAATCCCTGGTTACTGTGATGCAAATATTCCCAAACTCCCTAAACCCAAACAACCCTGGGCTGCCCTTCTTTCCTGGTCCAATTCCCAACAGTTCCCCTCAAGATCAAGCTTCCCATCCTGCCTCCAGGCTCACACTCAATGAAGAACAGGCTTTGAGCCTTCCCATCCCTTTGGCAGATGGCTTTCTGTTTTTTTGCTTCTGAACAAGAGCATGAATCTCACACCTACACATCCAAAGGGTGCTAACAGCTGAGAGCAGAGACGAGGTCTTTGACCTATGCTCCCGAGGCTTCTTCCATTCTTCTACCCTTACTTCTTGCACTTCAGACCATCGGGTTCTTCCAGCTGTCTCTTGACCCTCTCCTCATTGACTTCCTACCATTTCTCCCATGGCTCTTAGAGAATTTTGTCTCCGTCTTTGCAAAACTACCACCATGCTGAGGATTCCAGAATCCACAAGAACAAATCCAAACCCCTGGCCTCTGGGCTCCTTTTCTCCACCAACAATCATGTCCACTAACTAAATCTACCACCTGGGATAACACTCTCTATCTGTCCTTAGCCTTGATGCTCCCTCTTCGTTACACAAATTTCCACCATACCCCCTTTTAATAACCTCTAGTATACGACCTAGCACTTTCACAAAGTGTAACCTGGTTTCTTTCTGTTTATTACCTGTGCTTCCTATTCCTTTCCCACCTATGACACACAGCCCTCCCATGATAATTCTTTTCCTTGGCGCACTGATGTCTACGACTGACAAACCCTAAGTTACTGTCTTTATGCCTATCTTTGGGGCACTGATAAAAAGTAAAATCACAAACCACGAAGAAAAGGTGCACCACAAATCTGTGCAAAAAGCTAATGGGAGTAGCTGAGTGCTTCCCATAGGCTGGGTGCACAGTCCAGTCTATCTTCCACTCCATGAACAGACAACAGCATTTATCTCATCATTAAGGGAAAAAAACTGCGGCTTGAAGAACTCAGAGTGTCACAGCACTGATGCAGGAGTGAGCCTGGGTGCCCGCACAGCTCAGGGTTAACGTGTTCCAAACTTAGTGTCAACAACCTCAGCTGGCCCTCAGCATAGCCAGCTGGCTGTTTCCCTAGTGAGCTGTGATTTTCCACAGAACAATTTTAAACTTTCTTCACTTCTCTCAAACCACTGACTGTCTCCCTCCAGCCAGCAGATGACTGTGCTTCGTAAATAGAGAAAACAGGAGGCACCAGATTACATCCCTTGACCGCTTAGCAAACGGTGCCCACACTTACTTACCTGCATCTCCTCCTTCACTGCTGCTCCCTGCCTGCTGTCACAGGATCATTTCAGAGACAAAGAAAAGGCACAACTATGAGATAACAGTCAAGTTTTGCTATGGGGAGAATGACACCATTTTATTTAGGGGAATGTTAGAACAAAGCATACACAATTTGCAACAAATACAATTGTTTGCTCCCTAGCCCTGAATAATTACAGTATATACAAATTTGATAAGGCACTGGTTCCCCTAAAGAACACAAGTGAGTCGTCTATTGAAACAAACAGAAATAAAACCCCTATATATTGCCAACCTTTCTCAAAAAAATATGGCATTAGTTTGTTTTGCTTTATAAAAAGAATTATGATTGCTAAATTAAATTGCTTTTGATGTTAACCTTTCAATTTCCACTGCTTATGGGACTGAGTGTCTGAGGAGGTATAAGTACTGAACATGTTCAAGCTTGAACAACTGTTTTTCTCTCACTGCCTTTCCACCTATAAACAAAGAAGGGCCAGAGCAGATGAACAACATAAAGCTGCTAATGAATATGCATGACCCTAGGAACACGAAATTCAGTCATTACTAAGTACTTGCTATCCTTGACAACACACCAATTGAAATGTGTCAACGAATTCCCTGTAAATAAAATCTCAGCATGTTTTCTAAGAAGTTCTGTTTGGGGAATAAAAAGAACGTCTACTAGTGACTTCTGAGCATACTTTCCAGGAGGTCAGAGGCCCATCTCCTCAGGCACAGGGCTCACTGCTCGTCACTTGTGAATTAACAATGTACACACTTCCATAAATAAATATTATGCTTCATTTAATACTTTATCATCCATAATATTTTACTCTCTAATCCACATAATGGAGTTGTACCAGACTCCACAATGAGCATGATATTTACATATACAACTATATATAATATATACATGCATACATAAGCCATAAACCTGAACATACAAAGTTTATCTGACAATAATTTAGGACTCCTTTGAGGGGAAGGAATTAGAAGAAAAGCTTCGTCTTTGAAATAGTCCTGATGATCAGCAATCGATAATATTACTAATTTGCAGGTACTCACTCAACTGAACACCAAAGCAGGAAATAAGATTAATTTCTGAGCTGCTGGAAATGTAAAATTTATCATGGATTATTGGGAAGTGAGCAGGCAGTTGTTAAGACAACTTAGTATTACCAAAGAAGATTTTGGTAGGACAGAAAACGGATCTGTTCATAAGTAAATTCTCATGGGAAAGTGGTTATAACTGAGTGGGTCTTTTTAAGCATCTCAAGAATAATTTCAAGATTTTCATAATGAATAAATAAGGTTAACAATTGGAAAGTAAGCTGTTCAGCTTCCCCCAAACAACCAAATGCAGAACACAAGAGAACTATTTTAACTTCCTTTCCATCTTTCATTGGAACTCCAGAAATTAGTCTACTTTGAACTCACCACAGAACATTCTGATTTGAAGTTATCCATGTGGAATAACTTACCAATTAGAAAATACAATTTTATCATAGAGGGAAGCCCAACCTCATTTTAATTTAAGGGAAACTCAGAAAACAACAAAAATACACTGATTTAACTGGCCAAAATGTTCACTTAGGTGTTTGTGGATGATCTGACTATTGGCACACTTGGTTTAGGAAAAATATATGGGTAGAACTACCACAAATAATGCACTTGGACAGTAAGAAATGTCTCTTCGGGCTGCTCTTCCACTGGCGTTACTAGAAGCAGCATTCTGGTGCCCATCAAATTAAGAATCAGTTGTTTTAACTCTTTTTCTTTCCAAATTTAAGAACCCAGCAATACTTCTTTCTTATTGGAAAACACAGTGTGTCTCTGATTCATACTGGAAGGGGAATCAGCATAGAACACTGTTCTCCATACCTTTTCCCCAAACTCTCAATTCAGCTCATAGACACCCAGGGCGCTCTCTGGACAAACAAGACGCTAGCTACACATCTAGTTTAGAAGTGAGTAAAATCTTTCTCATTTTTCGTGCAGCAGTCAGTCACTTTTTCCAAAATTCTTTCAGTCACCCAGTGGTGAAATTGTAAGAAAACACTGCCCCCTGGAGTATTCTGGAAGGAATGTCTGTTTTGATGACAAAGGGGGAAGAACTATATTCCTTACTAACCAATAAATAATTTCTAAGCAGCAAAGAAAAAAAACCACAGGAAGGAAATGAATAAAGTTGAGAGGGTTGCGTATAATTTTAAACTTTATTATATTCCTGTCGCTAAGAAATATTGATCCTATCGTGATTTTGTTGAAATAGTCAAAAGTTAAAATCTCACAGAACTGAATAAATGGAGATGTTTTATACAAGTGCCACAAAGAAGAAGCAGAATAAGTTAAATAGTGAAATCAATATGAGAACAAATGATCCCATGTACCTACTGTGTGAAGTAATCACTTGATAGGTCCATATTGGATCCAAATCTATTCTAGAATAGATCATAGCAGCCATAATGTTTTGTGGCTTTCATTAACTTTCCTCGGTTCATCCATCTGACGTTTATTTTTAAATTAAAATTTAGTGAAGTTAACCAGACAGATACTTCCCCTTTATCCCTTAATTCAGAGATTAAAAAAAGACAAACAACAACAAAAAGAAAAACTATACAAAATAAGACGTCCAGGCTTCTTTCCTTGTGCATCTGATATTGGCTCTTATGCACAGACAAGAAGCAAGCCATCTACACCTTCGACCTCTGCCCCTACCTTATCGACATGTTTTTCTTACAACACAAGAGCAAATTATTTCTATTTTAAAGTACCTTGTCTTTAACACAACTCTGGCAGCTTTATTTAATATCGATCTTCTGATTTGAGAGAACAGAAGCACGCCTATGTTAGTTCTCTGCACATGAAAAAAGTTTGCTTTAAAAAAAAGTGGGGGGGGTGACCTGAAAGAACTGCCCAATGCAACCAGAACAGGAGTGGTTCTGCAGAACAGACCACATACTTCTATTAGAGTCATTTGTTCCAAAGCTTCTGAAGCTGTTTGAGGGCCACCTTTAGGAATTCCAGGCAGGTGGACCCTGTATGCATGTGCATTCACACTGCAAGAGCCATGCCCAGAGCAGGGCTGGCCAAATGGTCTGAGAAGCCTGAGGCAGGAGAACAAAGCCTATAAGTAGATTTCTAATTTATGTTCACAGACTGTTTTGGTCTGTATAGTGCAAGAGTATTTTGCCAATGGAAAACGTTTTAACTTTCAGTTAAGTTCTGGGAAGAATTTTGTTATAATTTAAATTATAATTGTATAAACCTTAAAACTTCTACATTTGTTTTATTTTGGCAAAATTAAAGCATCTTTTTTTTTCTGAAAATGGCAATCCCAAAATATAGGGCTTTCTTAGAAAGCAACATGCATTGTATCTTGAACAAATTACCCAACAGTTTCTCCCTCCTCAGAAAGCCAAGATTCATCTGTGCTTCTGGAACCCTCTCTGCCTGTCCAGCTTGCTCCCCAAGAGGGGAGGTCTGAACTCATGGGGCAATAGGAAGATGTTCAAGGCTTGGACTGCAGATGCTTCTGTAAGATCTCTCACTCTGCCCACAAGCAGAAGAGTATCCTACGTCAGAGCTTAATGTCCTGAGACTCTGACATTTTGGCAAGTGTTTTCTTAACACGCAGGGCCGTCAGCCTGGAGGCAGGATTATGAGCCCAACACTCTGTCATGAGCTTCCCCATCTGCCTGAGACACTGAAAGAGAAAAGAACAGTGGAGTCATGTCAGAGAAATGTATTCTCTACAAGGCACTCAATATTTGGCTTTTAGTTTTGTGTTCAGAAGTTTGAATGTATTTTTAAGGTAAAACAATATAGGCATGAAATCCCATTAAAACTCTTCTTCATGTGAAATGATTGACTCACACCAGTTTTTGTGTGTTCTTTGTGACAAGAAGAAAACAAGTGGCTTTGCAGATATAGAAGCATGTTTTAGAGATAGTACTAAGCAAACCTAATATCCAAAGTGTCTGGTTTCTAGCCCATACTCCCAAATTGTTTACAACAACTAATAAGTTTAAATATTTTATCTAATTATGTACTATTCAAGCAAGCACAGCTATTACTAAAGCACAGCAGTCTACTGCAACAGCAGCACAACTCTGTACCACTTAACAAGATTAATGACCTGTGCAGAGCACTGCTAAAACTTTCTCCTCGTGTTTGCCTGTTGTTCATGTTGCAAAGCACAATTTCACTTCATCAGAAATCCTCAGTGAACAGCTTTCAAATAACACTAAAGCCCACAACCACCTTCAAAATAACGTAACTCCAACATTCCATAATGCTTTCTGTATAGCTTATTAAAATCATATACTACTTAGCAATGTAGGAGCTAGACAGAGCGTTAATGAACAAAAGGATATTTTTAAGTGATTTTACATGGACTCATTACTTTATAAACAATGATTTGTGTGTCTCATCTGCCTGTAGTGGGTGTACATGTTTGATAAGACTTTTTTGTTTTCTCTTTCTGAGTGTGCTTCAAACTCATCTTGACTTTTCCAATATGCCAGACTTGGCTGTGGTGAGGCAGGGATGTGAATGGAGAGGCAGGGGAGCAGAAGGCAGTCAGAAAGACAGGGTCTGCTCCATTCACTTTGTCCTGCCTGGCAGCAGCCTTCCCTACATAATTGGGTTTCACCTCTACATGCTTGTAATGAACAGAATTGTTCAAATGATGCCTCAGCATTCTTTTTAAAAATATTTTATTTTTATTTTAATTATGTGTGTGTGTGTGTGTGTGTGTGTGTGTGTGTATGAGTACAGTGCCCATGGAGGCCAGGTGGTTGTGAGCTGACCAACCTGGGTACTGGCAACTGAACTCGGGCCCTCTGCCAGAGCAGTGCATCCTCTTAACCACAGCCATCTTGCTAGCACCAAAGTCTCAGCATTCCTTTTTATTAAAACACTAGCATAGTGAGGCAAGCCAGCAAGGTGCCCCTGTATCATGTCTCTGTATAGAAACCTCAGTCTTGAGAGCCTTACTTTTTTCCCTCATCAAAATGCCAAAAAGATGACTCTAGATTTGTCATGGAGGAAAATAATGATACTTTAAAACACACAGAAAAAAATAAGAGCATTTATGCAAACGTAGTGGCCTGATAAATATGAAATAGTTCATCTTTTGTGTAGGCTCAGTTTTGACCACTCAATATGTTGTAAAATTGACAAAATAAAACCAGGAAAAAGAGAATAGATTTGACAAACTACATATAGCTCTAACAAATATTGGAAGGAGATAACAATACCATCATCAACAAAACAAAGGTCAGTAATGAATATTTGGAATTTTGGCAAGAGAAGCCCATTGAGAAGTCAGTCTCAGCTGCAAGGCCACCTCAAGCCTGATCATACCTCATCACTACTCCATCGGTTGGGGAATGAGGGTCGTAACTTTTTGATGCACACAATTTCTCTCATGTCTTCATAAGAGGGGTCACTGGGCACCAGGTCATGATAGGGAAGCTGGTATTCTTCCACTATACCTAAAAATATTTTTCCATTCTGATTATTTTCTGTCAAGTGGTAAAAATAGATCTAATACAACTTTTCTCAATATAAAACGCACTATCAGTATTAAATACAAGCTCATGTTAACAAAAGCCAAAATAAGTCTTGAAAACCATTTACCAAATGGCACTGAATCTAAGTCCCAAGAAAACATCACAGGTTCTCATCTTTTTTTTTTCTTAATTTCCAAAAGCTAAGTTAAACAAGTACCTCAAATTTATTTCTAATTTTACAAAGACCAATTTTATTTTTAAAACCCATATTAAATCTCGATTCCAATTTGGAAGACACATCTCGAATCAATGCCATATAATTTGTAACTGCTTCAGTACTGAAGTATAAGATCAAGAATATCTTAAGTTTGGAAGTGCATCCTATTTAAGAAATGTCAGGTTCCCATTTTTATGCTTAATCATAAGATTTGTTTTGCACATGAAATATTTGAAAAGTTCTATCTCCCAAAATACTAGCCATGATTTATTTTAGGTTTGAAAATTATCTGGTTTTCTTTTTAAATTTTCTGTACAAACTCTGCTTCATCTCTTCCTTTCTAACAGCTAATTCTACCTCTTCCCCCTGTGCTTTAGGAAGGTAGGCTACTTATATGTTCTTTTTAACTTTATATGATGAGCTCTTCACAGTAATCCTACATAATCCCTGTCCACAGATGGTGGAGTGCTTCTCGGGGGAAAAAAAAAAAAAAGTTCCAAATTCTATGCTACCTCCACCTTTTGCAGGACTGTTACTTCTAGTCACCTGAAAAAGATGAAACCAGCAAGTTATCAGATTATATGGGGCAGCATTAAGTTCATTAGGAGTTTATCTGGGTGTGGTAGCACACACCAATAATCTTATTACTAGGGAAACTGAGGAAGAAGATTATAGGTTTGAATTCAAAGCCAGCATGGATTATATGGAGAGCGCCAGACCAGTCTGGACTACAGAGTGACATCCTGTCAAATAACTAACAACAGCAACAACAATTTTTTCTGGGGATTTATTAAGGCAAAAATTAGGGTCTGTACTATGCTCTTGTTTATAAACTCAAACCATATACGGTCACAAGGAACGCAGAAGTTCAAAATTTTTCTTAGGCAGTTCCAACTCATCATCTGTTTATCACTCATGGTTGCCTACTGTGTCTACTCAGCATAATTACATGCACTATCTATGCTTACATTTTCTTACACTGTGTTTCATGACAATATCAGTATGAAAGATAATAAAAGCACAGGACCCAACACATAGGAGGCCTCACTTCATCTTAGTGCTTCCTTTCCAACTCTTAAGACAATGATCTGGGAAATATCTTGAAGATGAATATATAGCTATTTACCTCATCACACGGATAGGCTGATGGATGGTGAGGTTACAAACTGCATCAGACACAGGTGGAGCCATCATTATAAAATCACAAATTAATCAAACTCTAGTTTTGAACTACGGGCCTCACTCCTTTTATCCCTCTAGAATTGATTTTCAAAAAAAAAATTCTAAGTAATCTGCCATTTAATCTTGCATTTACAAGCTCAATCAAATACTCTGGGCTTTCTTGCTTCCTTTCTGTTTGAAATCCCTACATCTGGTGTGACTCCATCACCTGCACCAGAAAGAGTCAGTCAGAAAATCTTCAGTACCTGCATAAAGGGAAGTGTTAGAGAATAAAAATTTGAGTTTTTCCTCTGAGGAAAAGGAAAAGAAATATATTGTTTGAGAGTCTATCAAACACGAGTATGCTGTAAAATTAATTTTAAGTTCTCACAAAGGCTTACATGAGATAGCATTACTATCCACAGAGGAAACTTGGTTCACAGGTTAAGTGAAATAACTAAGGATATATACGTGGCCTGGGGCAGAGAAAGAACTCTGTTCTCTGAATAACAATCCTACCTCAGACAGAGATACCACCCCAAAATAATTAAGACCCCACTGCATCCATAGTACTAGTTTGTTTCTAAGCTAAGGGTCATTTCTCCTGTATTTGCTCAAATGGTTTCAAATGTAGGTTTTCGGTTGGTAGACATGTCTGCCTTAGATAGTCAGGAAGAGAAAGTTAGAAAATCAGGAAAGTAATACTGCACTCTGCTCTAATTTCGGTGTCTCCAAGCCTATTTAGTTGTGACCAGTGTGCTCAGGGGTGCACCTCTCCTTGCCACAGTGGGAAATCAAGACACAACAATGAATGTGCATTGTGGTTGTTTCTTTTCTTCTTCACACTTAAGATGGAAGTTTGCTTTTTTTGTTTTTGTTTCTTGTTCTATTTTTGTTTCATGTTAAAGAAACCTTCCTGCATTAACTTTCCCTTGAGCAATAGAATACTCTTCCTTTAAAGAGAGCGTATTCCTGCCATAGAGCACTCATCAAAGAAGTTTCTTTTCACAACAGATGGAGGCTACTGCAGAGTTGCACATCTGGTCAGGAACAGAGAACATCCACCTGGGAGATACCCAGTACTAGATGACACTTCTGCAGCTGAATCTCTACAACTAAGACTCATGGAACATGGCAGAATGAGGAGTAGAGAAAGGGCTAATGCACCACTCAACTCCCACCAATGAGGCTTCCATGTACATTAGAGTGCGACGCACACAGAAGGCCAAACTGGCCAAGTTTTGGAGAATAAGAGACTGTAGAGTGTAGGATGGGACTCCTATATGGAACCTCACCCACCCACAGCTCAGGGACCATTGTGGAAGAGGAGGCAGAAAGATTGTAAGAGCCAGGGCTGGTTCATGGGCTTCCAGGCCACTGAAGGCTTGTTCATGTGAGCCTGTGGCAGTGGTGGCGTCAAGCGTAGGACCCATGTTAGCTCAATTGAACAAGAGCCAAAGGGGGAGGTGAGAAATAGGTGGCAGGCCAGCAGTAGACTGAGAACTATTTGAGACTGATTGCTGCTGGTGAGGGAGCATATGACTTACATGTGACTGCTGGATGGGCTGACTAGACTCCAGTGGATGGATTTACACTGAAGGACATTTGGGTACAAACACCTGAATGAATAGGACTCAGCATGTATGGCAGAGTGCATAGGGTTTGGTGGGGGATTGGGAGAGGCATGGATGGGGGAGGGGGTCTGGATTTGAGTGGAAAATGTTGTATGAAATTTTAAAAGCTCAATTTAAAAAGTAGGAAATTGGGGGGGAGGGAGAGCATGTTCTGCTTCTTAGAAGAGGCTGAGAAGCCCCAAGGTGATTGCAAGGCACTGCATCTCTAAAGATGATTATTCTACAAGTATGAACCAGAATGTTTGCAGATTGTTTCTTCTTTATAATGGAATGTGAATCTATATATCTATGGGTTCACCTGGCAAAATGAAAATGCAAAATATGCACTGTTAACACATACTAAGTACTATCTGCCAAGCAGTTAGATTTTATTATATTCACTGAAACCTCACAACTATGTGAGGTAGAACCAATCATTTGCCTATTTTTAGAAAGTTTTTTGCTTTGTTTTTATTTTATGTGTATGAGTGTAGTGCCTGCATGTGTGTAAATGCACCCATGACCTGCAGTGCCCACGGAGAAGAGGGCATCAGATCCCCTGGAACTGGAGTTACTGACAGCTGTTAGCCGCCAGCTAGGTGCTAGAATTCAAACTCCAGTCTTCTGCAAGAACAGCCGGTGCTCTAACCACTGTGCAATCTCTCCAGTCCTCATTTGCCTAATTATTAAGAGAACTCTGAAACAGAAAAGTTTAGTAACTTGTCCAGGGTGTTGCAATAACCAACAGCAGGCATGAGAACTGTTCCCATGGCTAGTTATGAGTACAATCTGGTTCGAGTTCATGATTTTACAAAGAGTTTGAAACTGGCCTTTGGTGGAACAACAGCAGCATCAAACTTATTTTTTTTTAATGAGAATGACCATATATAGAATAATACATGGAGTGGGTTCCATTCTTGATCCATAAGAGGCTAAGATTCAGCTCCCTACCCAAAAGGGGATGGAGCCTGCGAGAAGACAGATCATGTCACAGTGATCACAACAACATAAGCAGTAATACTTTCAAATATTTAAACATGTCTTCTCAATTATTATAACTGTATTAGAGACTCATGATGATGGATAATTTATCAGGAACATGACAATATCTTGATGCTTTAATTTCCTTTTGATAAAAACTGATGTTTCAAAATTGTTATATGAGGACGTTTAATAGAAAGCAAAGAAAGTTCAAGAAAGGGTGTCCTACTCACATTCATTTCTCTAGGGTTACCTTTGCAGAGATACAGAGAATGGGCAATGGGTTGGAAATGGGGCCCAATAGGTAGGTAAGTAGACTCTGGGCGGGGTAGGATGGGGGTCAACTTGCTGAAGTGACTGCAGAGCTTAGAGAGACGTGAGACAAACAAAGAGAAGCAGAGGGTGAGGCCTGACAAGCCAGGGGAAGCGGGCTGTGAGTCTGAAAGTGTGTTCACTGGTCAAAGAGGAGGAGGGAGCCAGTCAAAGATGGTCCTAATAAGGTGATTATTTCTGGAAGGAGTATGACTATATCAACAGAAATAAAGGAGAAAGGAAGGAAAACCCAATTTGTAGATAACATGCCAACTGATTTCTGATCAGAAAAGATTTGCAAACCTTTCCCAGGGGTAGCTTTGTAAAGTTGCCTTTTTCTTCTTTTAAAGAATATTATATTTATTATTTGTATTTTATGTGAATGAGTGCATTGCCTGCATGTAGGTAGGTGCCCATGGAGATCAGAAGAGGGCATTGGATCCCCTGGAACTGGAATTACAATCGTTAGCCACCATGTGGGTGCTAGAATTTGACCTGGGTCCTCTGCAAGAGCAACCAGGGCTCTTAACCATTGAGCTATCTCTCCAGCCCATAGCTGTTTTTTCTTACCTCCTGAAACACATCTCCTTGCAATCTCCCAGAGGATGAGCCCAAAACTGTACATGTCGGCCATGATGTAGGACTGGAAATGATTCCTATTTAAGCTCTCGTCCAGCACTTCAGGAGGCATATAGCGCTTGGTGCCAACTCGAGTGTTGGGTGGGATGTCAACTTCATTTGTATCACTAAGGAACAAGTAAAGCAAAGCATTATTAATACTGGAGAGGTCCAACAAATGGCATCCAGTCGTGACTCTCTGAATAAGAGTGTCAGTGTAGTGGGAAAGAAAAGGTTCCCAAGGAATAAAACATTTCTTGGCAAAAATTATACAAAGTATTCACAGGTTAAACATCAGTTCAAATGAGACTAAATCAGGATTAAACACAATATATAATAAATGTATCCAGTATAAACTCTAAAGTGTTACTAGATGTCTAATAAAACCTAGATGTGGTGATTCACACATATAATCCAAATTCTTGGAATATGGAGACAGAAGGATCAAAGTTCAAGGTCAGCCTCAGCTACATAATGAATTTGAGGTGAGCCTGGCCTACATAAAACCCTGTTTCAAAAAAATCAAAATAAATTTAGTATCTAATAAATATCCAGAAAGTACCTCTCTTGCCTTTCTATTTTAATAGCTTTATTCTTATAACTGGTAAGTACACGAATCAACCAGGCTTACACCTCTAACTAGTAGCTGGTGAGGGGGGAAAGTGTATGGGTAATAAGCTTAAAGGTAAGCTGGAAAAACTGTCAGATTGGAAAGCACCACCTCCAGTTACAATTTTGCTCTTCCTACAGTACCACTTGATACCTCTTATGTGAGTACAAAGTAGGCATTTCATTAATGTGTTACCTGTTTGTGTTATAATAAATCAGTATTAATCAATAGAGGAAGAAAGTGGTGGCCCTAGGGAAGGAATCCTAGATTCTAGGCAGGAAAAAAAATATAGGATTTGCAAATGGAAAGAGGATAAAGGCCCAGATATATTCAAGAATATATACCAAGGAAGGAAAACAAGAATCATCTTAAGCTAGGGCCCCCAAGAGTACACCAGAAAAGCCCAAGGCAGATACACTGACCCCAGTGGATGAAGAAACTGACAACTACACTCTGTTTTCACTCTTGGTTCTTTTAGGGTTATTTGGATCTGGGAGGTCAGGCACTGGTTAGGGAGTGTATGGGAAGGAGAGGATGGGACCTGAAAGGCAACTGCTACCAAATGACACTTGTAATACCCGCGGTGACCAAACCATATTCAAGTCATCCCTAAACTCTTCTCAGCTATTGCACTAGCAATGATTAAGGTTCCTCGAGGTCCAGGAAATGCAAAGACAGCAGTTTCTTCCACAGGATTATGATGGGAATTGCTTCTCCCGTTCCTTGGCCACCTTGTGGCCTCGTTAATATTTTATTTATTTAATTTTTTAAAGTTTATGTCTATGAGTGTATTGCATGCTTGTGTATAAGTGCACCCCTGTCCTGGAATTCTCGTGGAGGGCAGAAGACGGTGTCAAATCCCTTGGAACTGGAGTTACAGACGGTTGTTAGCCACCATGTGGGTGCTAGGAATTGAATCTGGGTCCTCTGAAGAGCAGTCAGTACTCCTAACCTCTGAGCCATCTCTCCAGCCCCTTGTGGGTCCCTTAATAGAACTGGAGGAACATCCTCCCTATAAGTAGCAGAAAAACACTTTCTATAGAAGTATTTGAATAAACATCTAACAATTTAACTTCCTTAAACTCCTGTGAACCCTAAATATCTGTCATAATTATTTGTATGACCCTAAATAAGAAATATCATAAATTTGAATGAGCCCAATCCATCTTCACTCTGCATACCTTGCACATGATGCAAGACGACAAAATGAACTTGGAAAACAGAAAAGGCCTGCAAATAGTAACCTTTGCTCTAGATAATTTAAAGAGAAATATAAAACTGTTATAGAAAGGCCTCAAGATATACCCAATATCTAAGCAGATAAGTAGAATTTTGTTGAGCAAATTAATTTTGTAAGAGATTACTATTAACCTAATGGTTAATGCCTTTAGCACTACATTTAAACAACAAATGTCAATTATAGCAAACTCCTGATGGAGTACTATCAGGCTTCAGATTCTCTAAGACAGAGTCTGACTCTTCTTCCCTCGGGCATGTTTGTATGCCAGAAAATAATTAAGCTATGTCTCTTAGAATTTCAGTAGGATCATACCTGTTCTCAAGCAATGCCAGAGAAAACTGAGCTTCTATTAAACTTCAGGGAAGAAAAAAAAAGATATTAAATTGAACAGTGGTAAACCAAGGATAAAGGAAGGAAAAAAGAAAGTAGTGTCGGCTGCTATCATGCATATAAGAGATAAGAGGGTCACAGACGGAAAGAGTCCAAGGGAAAGAAGGGAGCAGACAAGGCCGGCTGCCTTCATCTTGTTCTAGGTCTTTTCAATGGAAACACGTAGAATGATGAGAAACAAAGGTGGGCAGGAAATGAGGCATATTATAGAAGAGGTGCCGAGGTAGAGAGAATAACGCAAAACACACAGAATAGTTGCATATACCACAGTGGTTACCATCTAATTTATCCCATTGTAAAACTGTACACAGAAAATAGAAACAGGATATTGTTTACTTCTGTGAGACACAAGGGAATAAAATAGGAAGCTATACTACTTACTTTTTGTTGTCAATATGACACAAACTCAAGTCAGCTGGGAAGAAGGAATCTCAATGGAGGAATTTTGTAAATCTAATTGGCCTACCGGCATGTCTGTGGAGAATTTCTTCATTGCTAATGGATGTAGGAAGGCCCAACCCACGGTGAGGAGCGCCATCTAATGTGAGTACCAAGGAGTCATAAACTTAAGTAGGTGAACCTGGGATCTGTAAGAAAGCTAGCAGAGCATGAGGCTGAGAGAGCAAGTCAGTGAGCAGTGTTCTTCCATGGCTTCTCCTTCAGCTCCTGCCTTGCTTGAGTTCCTGCCCTGAAATCCCTCAGTGATGGACCTGGAAGTGTAGGTGAAATACATCTTTTCCTCCCCAACTTGTATTTGTTCAGAGTGTTTTAACAGCAACAAAAAGCAAATGAGGACAGAAAAGAACCAGGTTATCTTCAGCATTTAATTTCTTTTGAAAAGAAACACAGAAAAAAATAAGCCAAACCATTAACATTTGTTAATATTGAATATTACATGTATGACTTCAAAAATACCTATGTTTATAACACAAAATAAGCATATGTTTACATCATAAAATAAGCATATGTTAAATATATCGTAAGTAAGAACAATTCAAAGATCCAGAACTAGAAAAGGTATATTTTAAGGATGAAGGGATAGATTATAGGCATAAGGCCCTGAAATTCAAAAGTGATTTATAACATGAATGAAATTAGCTGAAAGGTGAATTTCTGCTAAGGGGCACTGAAATGATCTGTCAGAAATGTGGGCGCCACACTGAATGTGGAGGAGCAGGAGCTCTTCATCTTGCCTGTGGAGAAGAGTGGATGGAGCTCTTCACTTTTCCCGTGGAGAAGGATGGGAGTTTCTCTTCACCTCTCCCACAGAGAAGGCTGGTGACTGAGGAAGTTTTTGAAAATTACAGGAATAGATAATTTTACTCAGTTATACTTTGATTGTCAATATTCCCATTAGGCACAACCAGTCTTTTATTCTTGTTAATTTGAGTATCAAGGACTAATAAACTTAAGTAGAATTAGGGGGTAAAAAGTAATTTGAAGAAGATAAAGGCTATTGGGAAAAGTCTTCTCTAGAGAAAAGTAGTCTTTGTTTGAGGTTCACACTTCAATAGATATGTTCTTCATAAATCTTATGAACGGTGGAGATGCAAAAAGACAAAATAAAAAGGATCTCTGTGAGTTCAAGGCCAGCCTGGTCCACATAGTGAGTTCCAGGACAGCTCGGGCAACAGGGAGAGCCTGTCTCAAAAAGACCAAAAAAAAAAAAAAAATCCACAATTTTCTAAGAATAAAAATAGTACCATGAGAGGTTAGAGTTAAGGGAGTCAGCCAATGGGAAGAGCTGTTATCTCTTTGGGTTTAGGGTCATTATAAAATTTTGAGAGTGAAAACAATTAGACATGGTATTCTGGTGGCCCCAATTTTAGGACTAGTTTTACACAGTACAGTCCAATATAATCCCCATGAGAGAGGTGTTCAACCATGAACTAGCTGATGGTGGATCTGGAGAAAGGCACCAGCACATACATTATGTGGACAGGGTATATAAAACATGTAAGGTGGATATGCCAGAGAAAAACAATGTCCTCAGAATTCTGCCATGCTGCAAACCATGCTAGATTCCTTCCTGCTCTGGGTAGGAAGGGAAAGGTTAAAGACTCATTTTATTTGAACTTCAAGTTGCAGGGATGGTCTTAGGAGAGATAGGGGAATGAAGTTTGTATTTCTGACCAGTTACTGGGTAGCAATGTTATGATAATCAAAAATAGAGGTACACACTGATGACAAATGGCTTTTTAAGTATACAACAGACCAAATAATTCTTCCAGCTCAGGAAAGCTGTGGAGCAAGCTCTCATAGCTACAACTACCAGTAGGGATGAAGGCAAAGGAGAAGACATTTACAACTCTGTGTATGGTAGATCAACACAGAGAGAAAGAAGAGCTATGACAAGATTCAAAAGCAGCAAGTAGATTTGTCCTCTTCTTTGATGGTGCCAGGCAGCAGCAGCACTATGCCAAGGAGGGGATGGTGGGAGACATGTACTCTGTTGGGAGATATGTCGTACCACTGGCTTTGTTCAGAATGCTGCCACATAGGGAAAATGAAGAGCAGAATCTTAACTGGCCTAGTTCTCTCAGGCCAACACACTCTTTCACCACCTGTGTCAAGACAGTCAGCCCACAAGTCCCTGCAGGGCATCACTGGCTCCCCTGCTGAGGTAAATAGGCAACAGGAGCTGGTGTAAGGGCAGAGGTGCAGAGAGGCTGAAAGCAGAGCGTCTCACTAGGACCCTGAGAAGGCAGGGAAGTGAAGCTAGAGCACCTGTGGGTCTAATGAGGAGCACGTGTCTTATGTGTTCAGCACACCTTTTACAGAAAGGAAAACTGTTTTTAATCTGGTGGCAGAGAATAAGGGGGTTTTAAAAATATATATCCCTATTAGCCTCATTATATATTCAATAGTGCTTGTCTTAATTAAGCTTC